AAGTAATATATATATATATATATATATATATATATATATATATATATATACTATCGGTCGAAGAGAAGCGAAATCGTGCAAAACGACGATAAAATATTCGATCCACGTGAGAATACTTTTTTCTTCTTCTCTCTTTTCTTCAAATTGAAATTCTTCTTCATCAAAAATAACAATATTGTACAATAGTAATATTGTATTGTAACGGTGGATGGAAGCCAATAGATAGATGTTCGTAAAATGCTCTTTGTAACAAATGGTATATTTCTCAAAGATGAGTGAACTGTATGAAGTAAAGTAACTGGTTAAAAATCTCGAATAAAATTGCTTTAAATAATCACTTATTAAAATGTTCGAATAAAGTTTGTTCTTAGCTATTATAGTCGATCCTTTTCGCCTAGGAATCACAATTTAACATCACAATTATTTCCAATTATTGTTACGAACAATTAATTATCGAATTAACTCGTCCAAGTATCTCTATTCGTAACTTGGACTGTTAAATTTTGACAGTAGATGATAGAATACGACCCACTCGCAATGAGATTTTCTTTATAAGCAAGACTCGTGTCCTCGAAAAATCTCCATGAGGCACGATAATAACCAATAATATCGCGGTTGGTACTCGGCTCGCGACATTCCAGAGCTGGAGAGAAGTTTCTCGAATCGGGCTGGCGATCTGTACGCAAAGATATCGAGATCAGCGCGTTATCTTTATTATAGATCTCCTCGGACTAGAATGTGTCTGGAATACGTCGTTAAGATCGATCCAGCCAGGCTGGAAATACGTCAAAAATATACAATTGCAAGCGTCGACTAAATCGTCTTCTCGGATAACGTCGTCCTTTATTCAAGCTTCAAAGTCAAAAATATATATACAATATACAGAGTCAATTCAACTCTGAAAAATGACTGTCTTTTCAGATAACATCTTCTATTTAGAATTAAAAGTCAGAAATGTACAATATACAAACATCGATTACTCTTTCGAAAACGACTATCTTCTCGAATAACATCGTCCTTTATTCAAGCTTAAGAGAAGATTTTGATAATAACAAGTTAAATATAAGCTTGAACAACTTGTGTATTAATTGTACTTGAATCGCGTTTGATCGGATCCTCTTGTATCCGATCAATTAAAATTCCTAATTGGAAAGTTCGTTAATTTGCGTCGAGAAAAATTTATTCAAAAACGTCCTTTCTTCCAATCACGATCACGATTCGTCCGCGCAAAAGCCCGATGACCCGATTCGCATCGAGCCTTGACCACCGCGTTTCGTTGGAAGCGCAGTTTCGCGTTCCTGGGCCGAACCGTGACCCGGCCCTGACCTACCACCGCCCCCGTTACCTTTCTTACCATGCTCTATTTACCATTAACCTGGCCGTGCGCCAGGACAACGTTCAATCCCGACGATATCCTAGTTGGCTTCGGTCATCCACCACATTCGCTGACCGATCAATTTCCGGCTCGCTCTCTCTCTCTGGAATCGATCGTGATGAATTCACGCGTCTTAACCTTTTTTTTTTTTTTAATTGAATTCAAATTACGTAGAAACAGTTTTGAAAAAGTTTTGGATTGGAGTGGAGAGGGAATCGTTTATCGTCTCGATTTATCCGAGAAGAAAGCGAGCGAGGAGTGGAAGCGAAGCAAGGTTGGTTTTGCAAACGGAAGAGGGGTATTAGAAGGAAGGGGCGGGGAAGAGAATCCCGCTGGGGAGTCGGTCCGCTGTTTATATCGGCACGCGTTACGTATTACAGAGGATGGATCGGGGGGAGAGTATCGGAAAGTACTTTGCATCGATACAAAGGTGCGAGGCTTTGTTTCGCGATTGGAAACCGATTTGTAACGTCTTAAAGAGGAGGATTTGAAATTTTAAAGAAGGCTTCTTCCTGCTCCTCCTTTTCGCGATTCCTTTCCCCAACAGCGAGGATAACCCTTTTTTTTATCGTACGCTCCAACCTTCTCCTCTCGTTTCTCGTTAAATTCGTACGTCGAAACGTGTCCCAGATACGAAATTAACTTTTCAACTTTGGGGATATATCGAGCGATTTAAACTATTTTTCGTTATCGGTTTAATCTTCCCACCGATGAATCGATAAATCTTCGTTATATCAATATTATATTGTATTACGCGATCACGTTAATGGTTTCGATGTAGCTCTCTCTCTCTCTCTCTCTCTCGTTCCCCGAAATATCGAGGATTATATTCGCGAAAAAAATCGGTAACGTTTTTTTTTCCTTTCTCTATTTCTACACTGTGTATGGTCCAGAAATAGGAAGATACTCCGGTGAGATAATTTCATTTTCCTTTGCAAAAACTTTCGTTTTGTTAACGAGTTATTATAACAGAGAGACACCAGTGTGGGCTAGCGTTGGGTATGTGCCGCCGAACAAACGAGCAATTTGTGTTCCACCAAAAGGGAATTATATGGAATAAATTAATTAAGTCGGTAGGGACGAGCTCGTTTCGTTCCATTTTTACGTAACAATTTTTTACCTTCGACGATTTACGATATCACGTTCGAAATTTATTTCTTTTTTTTTTTTTGCTATTAGAATTTTGAAAGTAGGGCAGATTTGCCCTCCAGATCCTCTTTTTCATTTAGTAGAATCTTAATTACGTGATACGCTTCTGTAAAACACCCTCGAGGTAAGAATGTCCTGCATAACTTAAAAGTGAAATTTTCCTGTTATAATGAAGTAGAAAAAAAAAAAAAAAAAAAAAGAATTACGAGAGTTTGCGAGGAATATTTTCTTTTTTTTAACATTTATTTGTATCTTATGCATTGCGAGCAAAATTTTTATTATTCTACATTTCGGTATTTCGTATCCTTTTTTCTTTTTTCATACCTTGTGCCATTCGTGGTTTTTTTACAAGCGCATTTAAATAATTCCCTTTTTCCAAATTAATTTCTTCGAATAAAAATTTATGCATTGTCTTCTCGTTTGTGTCCACAAGACTTTTTACGCAACATTTCCTATTATAATACGTGATCGAGGACGATCAACTTTTAAATACGTGTCACATTATGTAATCTCACTTGTATAAATATATCCGAAAAATTGAAGAAGTTGTGATAAAGTCGATCCATGAATATCTCTAAAAATGCGCAAATATACTTTTCAATAATTTTTTTTTTTCTCCTTCACCGAACCGCGTTTAATTTCTAACAAACGCGTCGAGAAGTTTGCCAACAAATTCTCCTCTCTTTTTCCTCGAATCACGCGGAATCTCTGATTCCCCCAGGTGGTCGAGCTGGCGAAGTACAAGAAGGAGAGGAAGTGGAACGAGAGCGAGGGTAACCGGACGAAGGCGAAGCGCGTGCCCACCGTGAAGAAGGAGTTGAGCACGCAGAAGGAGATCCTGATCGGGAGCAGCAACGAGACCCGGGTGTCGTCGAAGAGTCTGCCCCCATCGGAGGTGCCCGTGAATCGGTTGAACGAGCAACTCGAGCCGATTCGAAGGAGGAACGTCGAGGTGAGAGAAACAAGAATGAAAATGATTCTCCTTCGTCGCCAATACTCGAACAGATCGAGGGACGATCCTCTTCGAAGAAGAAACTTTTATCTGTCCCTCCGCCTTTTCCATCGGTTTTTAAGAAATTAAACATCGAGAGAGGAACTTTTCGAATCCTTTTCGAGTCCTCGCAATTTCTCTTTTTTTCTTCTGCAGCCGGTCAAGTCGGAGAGATCGCGGGGCGAGGATGAGATCGTGGTGGGCGACGATCGATACTCGAGCGATACGAAGAAATTGGACAAGAGGCAGGAAACGGCCCTCAAGGATCTGAAATCCTACTTGTTGGCGGAGTACGCGGCCAAGCAGCGGCAAAAGCTTCGAAAATTTGGGGTGAGAGAAAACTTTGTCGGTAATTAATCGGATCTCAACTAACGTTCCGTTTATCTTATATTGCATATAAGCGACTCGAACGAAATCTTCTTTCAAATTTTCTTTCCAGCGGTTGAATTCATATTTATCCTTATCAATTTTAACTTTTCAGTCGGAGAGTCAGAATTCTACCTGTGTTTATTTAATCAAACGTTAATATCAAGATTCGATTGTGTGAAAGGGAAGTTGTTGCACGACTCTTTTGAAAGAAGAAACACGAGAGGAAAGAAAATAACGGATAGTTAGGCGTGATCGATAGTCCAATGTTTCTCGGGGCCAATAACAGGGTGGCGGGTTTGTTCAAAGCGAGCCACCTGCGCCACGGACTTTGATCCCCGTGGACGTTGATTCAAATCGGCAGCCAACCCTCGACCGAAGTGTCTTCATAACGAGACAGCTGGCGAACGCCCGCCTCATCGTTCTCCTCTTACCGATTTTAGATCAACTTCTTTGCACTCCAAACATTGGATTTCAAACTTTAAATTACCCTTTCGTACCCGGCGAATCGAACAGTTATACGATTGTCTCTTGAAAAAAAATGAAATGAAAATGTACGTTCTTCCGCACAGTTAGGGAATAGTTAGAAGAAAATTATTAAACATTGGAAAAATCTATTCTTAATTGACGAAGGTATTGAATACAGTGTTCCTTAATTCGATCTTTCTTTCGTATAAATGTAAAAAAGTATGTAAGAATGTTAGAAAAATTTTTAGGAAAATTACTTTGTGTTAGCTGGATTACTAAACATTAGCGTGCATTAGGAAAAATTTAATCTGAATGTAATATCCCTTAATTCAATCTTTCCTCCGCATAAATTTTAAAGAATAAGAAAGTGTAGAATAGTAGAAAAAGTTTTCTCCTTCTTCTTCGTGGATATGAAATTTTAATACGATTAAAATACGTGGCTCGACTCGTGTTAAGGAAAATTTTCATTTCCACTCGAGCGTTTAAAAATTCCACTCAAAATTTTTACAACGATCGAAAAATGCGAATAAACGAATTTATCGAGAGCCCCAACTCTTTTCGATAAATTAGAAAAATGATATTTTCAACGGAATCATTTCCATCTTGAAAATAGAATAGGAAGGACTTCAGTTTGGATTCAAGCTTAATAGGATAAGAAAAAGCGGATACAAATGAGAAAGTTGTCAGGGGACGATCGGGAGATGGAATAAAACTTAGTTGTCACGATGATAAATCCCTCCCCTCCCTCCCTTCAAGTTTTCTTTTATCGCGAGGAGACAATGCTCCTCTGCTTCCTTCCCGCGTTGTGATCGGGCTATTTATTCTTGTCCCACGCAGCGAATCGCAGGATAGGCGAGAAACGCCTATCGATCAGAAATAATAATCATCGGATGAGAATCGATGCTGATTTTCGTGATTTAATCGATAGACGAGTATCAAAGTGATACTTTAAATGAAGGATTTTCGTATTTTATTGTCCATTTCCAAATTTATTTTAAAGGTATGAGATGGTTGCTTGTAATTTTTAAATCTCGATTCTGTTTGAAAACGGATTGATGAAAAGAATGTTCAAGATTCGTTGAGATAATATTATTTTGTCGCAGCTAACTTAAAATGATTTCACGCGCAAATTAAATGCATAAAATATTTTGTATTTTAATAGTTTTATCTTTAACATGTAAAGAAAATTTGTCAGGATAAAATGTCTTTCATCTTTCTTATTTCGTCGAGAGCAAACCTTATAATCCTTCTTGACTTACGTTAACATATGCGCGCCCTCGCATTCACCTATTCTATTCTTATTTTTCGTTTTTATTTTTTTATACCTTTTCATCAATGCTTTCCTTCTCTCTATTCGTCAATTTCTTCACGAATAGAAGTAATTTCGTCGTTCAATAACGAAAAATCGAACTCACCTTCGCTCGAATTGAATCATTACCACATTCTTCTGCTTAAAAAGCTCAAAAAACTTTGAAAATAATACTCCTATTTCCATAATCGAAGAATGCACTCCGATCCGCGATCTAATTTGAGATAAGAAAATCTGATTGTTTATATCATTCATAAGTTTGTACAAACGACGAGCTTAAGAATCTATTCATGAAACGATATTCTAAAAAAAATCGATCGTGAATAAAAATTGTCGTCGCTCGAATCGAAATGAGAGCCATCATTCGAGTGCAAAGTTGTGGATTTTTTTTAATATGATATCGTATGCGATATAAAAAAAAGATAGTCGTAATTACTACGTAAAGCAAGCAAAGAAAAACACGTCAAAGATTTGATTCGTGCAAAAGAGATGAAAAATAAAGGGGGGAGAAAATTACACGAGGCTCTTTATTGCACGAGTTAAAGGATCGGGAAAGATACATACAGTTGCATCGTCCCCGTTTCTTCTGGCAGTTCTAGCACAAAGAATAAACCCACTCTGACTAATTCAATATTCTTAAAGCGACTAGTTTACTGTGCCGCGATTACTGCGACAATTGGATCCACGAAGAAACGTTGTCGCGTCTCTTTAACGGAACTCTTTAACGAAGCATCCTCGTAACAAAAAAAAAAAAGAAAAAAAAAAGAAAATCTTTCTGCATTCAATCGAATTCTCACAAAAATTTTTATCGATCGAACTGCTCGAAATATCATCGAGCGTGCCAGTAAAAATTCGAACAGCTTTCCTCGTTAGTTCTCTCTTAGATAAAAAAGAGTAAAAGTTACGAAAAAAATCACGTAGATGTGTTCACATGGGAGAAATCGACGTATCTTCGCCAACTTTGCTACCGAAATATCTATCGTGCAGATTCATTTGGGTTTAATAAAGAAGAAAGAAGTAAGTTTAAAGAAGAAAGAAAAAAAAAGGGGGGGGAGGGGGTAAAACAAGCAAGAAATCGGATAGAACCGTCGAGGCATTCCACGACGAGAGAATGGCAATTCGAGTGGGAAATGCTGCCGTGTCCTCGCCAAATTGGACGCGTTCTTCCCGCGCCTCAAGAATGTCTCGCGCTCCGCCCGGACGCCATTATCGCGTCACCTACCTGCTGCGCTTATCGTCGAGGATGCGCGAATCTCGCAAAGAGCCGCATTCTCACGGCTAATTCAATATTCCCCGCGCGCCTCCCCGCCTCCTCGATTATCCTCGCGTTACGAAAGGAGAAAGGAGAACCCTCTGGAATCTCCATCTCACATTTTGGAATAAAGCAACGAAAAAAAAAAACGGGGGAAGAGCGAAGAAGAAGGGTGCCGATTTTTATTAGACGAGGGTGGAGGTAAACACGTTTATTGGACGACTTTTATTAAAGAAATTCGATGAAAGGGCGAAGGAAGAAGATAGCGAAAAGGGCATTTGTATTAGCACTAGTAGGAAGAGTATCGAAGAATTTTATCGACGTCTAGCTTGAAAGAATAGCTGGAGAATGAAGCGATGGGAATAAAGAAAATCCGCACGATTTTTATCAAGGGCGCAAATTGCGTTGAATTTCCATTCCGTGAGGGAAGAGGAAGAAGGGCTGTCTAGGGTCTTTATTAAAAGAACGGTTCACACAGAAAGAGAGAGAGAGAGAGAGAGAGAGAGAGAGAGAGAGAGAGAGAGAGAGAGAGAGAGAGAGAGAGAGAGAGAGAGAGAGAGAGAGAGAGAGAGAGAGAGAGAGAGAGAG